CCCTCTGCCCCAGAGTCTGGTCCGGCCGCCCCACACGGAATGAGCCTGTTTCGGAGCAACTTGTCCTCACTGCAGGGAGCCTGCAGGTCCGTCCAGCCCAGCCCCCGTGTGTGGGCCCTGCCAGGCAGCCCCAGGGGGAGTGATTCCCAACAACAGCCCTGGGGCATCCACACGGCCCCTGTCTCGGGGGCGGCGCTGTTCCCCGTGGGAGGAGGTTCACGGAAGTGGTAGACACCCCCCTCGTGCCTGCAGCGGGGTCACAAGGGTGTAGAAACTGAGCCCCAAGTAAATAATCCACACCCAGCCCCCTAGTTCTGGTTGGGAAGAGCCCTAATCTTGCTGCCAGTAGCTGTGCTGGGAGTTTGCTAGAAATGCTCCTGGTGTAGTTCCTGGATTTGTAGATGGTGGTGTTCCTATAAAGTGTCAGTTCTATCCTCCCCCTGCAACTGATGGTTAAATACATGTTGTTGTCTGGTTAGTCGTATTTAGAAATTATGTTTTTTTAAAAAGTCTGTGGTTGCCTATGAATGTAAGGCAGCGTGTCCTGCCCTTGGGGATTTGGCTAAGGTTTTTGGAAGTGGCTAGTAGTTCTGGCACCTGACTTTTTTTCACCTTCTCAGTGTCTTCGGTGATTGAATTTAACTGAAAGCTTCATTACTTTGCATCTCTCTTTAGGGCTCAGCTTTCACCCTAAGCGGCCCTGGATCCTCACGAGTTTGCACAACGGAGTGATCCAGCTATGGGACTACCGGATGTGCACCCTCATTGACAAATTTGATGAGCATGATGGTGAGTTTGGAGCGTGAAAGAGAAGAAGGCAGAAGGCCCTTTGCAGAAAATAGTGTGCTCCTGAGAAGAGGTAGAGGAGAGTGGGCTTTTAGTTAACACCCTGGATTGAGTCACAGGAGGCCTGGCTTCAGGTCCTAGCTGTTGTCGAAGCAAAAAAACGCTCCTCTCCGTTTAGGCAGCTAACAAACAGCTTTATTAATTAATAAAGCACAGCATGAGCCAAACGTGGTCCCAGCAGAGCTGGGCCCAGTAAGGCTGGCTAATGCAATCAATCCTAGTATCTTTATACCCTTAGCCAAACAGTCTGATGTCAGGGCATCCAATTACAGAAATCATCAATTAAACTTGGAAAAACAAAACTTTATCAGCAAGATGGCGGACAGGTACGAGGGAGTGCAACTCCTGTCCCAACCAGCCCAATGAACACATACCAATAGCCCATCCTGTAGGCCTCTTCTCACGAGGTGACAGAAAGTTCACTCTGGTCTACGTGCTTGAGAGAAAAGCTGAAATGGTTTCTGATATACAAGATGGCTTCTAGCTAAATATGAAATGGTTTCTACAGCTTCGACACTGTGCCACAGACTCCATGTGTGACCATGAGCAAATAGCTTGTTTCTTGCTTGTACTTTCCCAGCTGTAAACTGGGGCTAATATTTCACAGCACTCTTATGATGATAACTTTATTATGGCGTAGCAGCCTGGGAGGTATCAGGTCTTATGGTGCTGTCGCTATATAACCCCACAGAAGAGAACTCTTTTGCACTGGCCTGGGGCAAATGTGGTCTTAGAAAGTTGTACCCTGGAACCTCTGTCCTCCAGGTGTCCCTAAGCCAGGAACACGTGTGGGACAGAGGAGGAAACGGCTCTGTGTGCTGCCACTTCCCTGCCCTGTAGCCAGGGTAATGGCAGTGCAGTGATGTGCTTCCCCTGCGACTTTTCCCCACCGTTTCCATAGCAATGCCTCAGAGTGGCATCAAGCACCGAGCCATGTGTGCGTTGTATCCCATTCGCTCATGCCCAGAGCAGAGCCCGCAGTGCCCTCCCTGGCCTGGCAAAATCTGTAATCCAGCATATCCTGTTTCCCAGGGTTGCTAGATTAAAGAGGCTCAAGTGTCCTTGACCTCTGTGAGTCACGTTGAGATTAAAATGAAGTATGATGCGCTCGAATTGTTCTGCTCTGAATGGAAGGGCCTGTTCTGGCTGTCAGTTTGGCTTGGTATACAGCTGTTTGTCTCCCGTCGTTTCACCTGCCTCTTCCTTCTGCAGGACCAGTCCGAGGTATTGATTTCCACAAACAGCAGCCACTCTTTGTCTCTGGAGGCGATGACTACAAAATAAAGGTAGATCAAATCTGCCTTCCACCCCTTCAAAAAGCGATGGTGGGCAAAGGGAGACAGGGCATTTGACAAAGATGTGCACAGAATGTGCCTTAATTTAGTTTTCTGTGAGAGGAAAAGGTGAGAGGATAGAGATGAAAAAAGGAAAAGGAGGGTTCAGGATTCAGCCCTTCTGAGGATGGGGGGTAATTAAATGAAGCCTGACAATTTCTGAGGGGTTTACAATTCTAGGCCTAGAACTGTAATGAAAAATGGGCCAGTCCAGCATGGAGGGTGGGGGATGCGTAAAAGCTTCCTGTGCCAGATGGGATGGCGGAAGAGAGCTGGGCAGAGTTTGGCAGGTGGTTCTCACTGGCCTCTGTCTCATATAGGTCTGGAATTACAAACTGCGCCGCTGTCTTTTCACGCTCCTCGGGCACCTGGATTACATTCGCACCACCTTCTTCCACCACGTGAGTGTTCCCACTCTAATGTCACGCCTCTGTGCCTCACTATATTCCTTGCTAGGACTCTCTGGCATCCCTGGGTAGGACTCTTTCCTGAAGAAATCTAGTGCACACAACGTGCTGGCTGCTGCTC